AAACCCCTCAAAACTGAATATGCTCTTTTTAAGCAAAGTGTTATGTGTTCTTTAAATTTGACTTTGCTATCCATGACAAGTCCCAAGTTTTTAGCCGAATTTTTAAATGCTATCGTGTCTTGTCCTAGATTAAGTTCAAGATTGCTTAAAAGATCATTTCTAATAATTTCATTACAAAACAGGAGAGCTACCGATTTGTTAGGATTTATTTTAAGCGAATGTTTATTTGATTTATCAAGCAACGATTTCAGATCTTCATTAATTAGCTTATTGGCTGCAGCCACTTCTGAAGGTTTGAAAGATAAATAGATTTGCGTATCGTCTGCGTATAAGTGTTAGTTAGAGGTGAATATACTATACAGAAGAGGACCCAAAATACTACCCTGAGGTACTCCCACAAAGACATTAAGAGATTCCGAATATTGTCCGTCAAGAGTAACTCTTTGAGATCTCTTTGAAAGGAACGAGGACACAAGTAGAGACGCCGACTTACTAAAGCCTACGTATTTTAAAATCGACAGAAGAATTTCATGGTGAAGCATATCAAATGCTTTTGTATAGTCTAATAAAATGAGCACAGTAGCATTGCTGCTGTCCTGCGTCCGCACTATATCATCAGTTAAATCAGACAAAGCTGTTGAGCAGCTATAGCCTGCTCTAAAGCCGGATTGTTTGCTGGGTATTATGTTATTGTTGTTCAGGAATGTATTTATCTGAAGTTCCATAACTTTTTCTAGGATTTTTGAGAGAGTGGGTAAAATAGAAATTGATCGTAAATAACCAAACTCGGTAGGATTTTTAATTTTGGGGAGAGAAATTACATTGGCGGACTTCCAAGATTGAGGAAAGTTTGATTCACTTAGGCAGCAATTTATAATGTGTGTTATAAATTGAATTATAAATGGACAACACAAAGTAATCAGCGTTATATTGAGATTATCCGATCCTAGAGCTTTAGATTTGAGTTTAAGGAGAATTTTGGAAATCAAATATTCGCTAACTGGCTGAAAAAAAAAAGTTTCATTGACCAATAAATTATTTTTATAAAAGTTTATGAGTTCTTGGTATAGGTATATCATTGCTATTTGTTATTTGCGTAAAATACTTATTAAGTTGGTCTAAATTTGTCAGATTACTTGGTATGGTGTTACTTTTTTTATTTCTTATGATATTAAGTTTTTTAAGTTCGTTCCATTTTTCCTTTGTGCTGCAAGATTGAAGTTCAAAATTTAGGTAAGCTTTTTTTTCAGATCTAATAGTGTTTCCGATGGCCTGGGTCTGGATCAAGGCCGCAACAAGAAGCCACGGGCCCTGGGCACTGAAGTTCAATAATTAGGAGTCACTAAAGCTTCCAATGGTCTAGAGGAGGCTGAAGATTGGAGGTACTACTTGAACCACACAGAGACAGGGCATGGAGCAATAGAGGTAGGTATGTCCGATATTCGGAATTTAACCGTATAATTAACAGAAAACTATGCTTTTACATAGGAAATAGAGAAACACAGAGAAGATTAATAAGAAAAACCACTTACCAAATTTAGTTTTGTCCTTTGGGAACAAACAATTGACCACGTTGCTCTTTTTCGACTCACAAAAAAATCTGCACAAGGCGATTGGGTGCTAAAATAGCGGATTAGCCACCCTAGATCTATGAGCGAAACTTGGCAACTCAGAAATCGGCAAAATGTGCCTGAGGAGTTTTCCCGAACACTTAATCGTGGAAAGTCCTCGACCTGAATGACCTCTGCTTGTCCCTGCAATGTCCTTTAAAAAGGTTCTGTCAAAACTCCAAGGTGGAAGGTACTGGGGAATTTTGATGGTAGTTGGGGCATGGGACTTATTCAAGTTAAGTTAGTACCTGTCATTGACCCTATTTGGAGCGCTGTCAATCTAGACAATCTACTCCGATCAGACAATCAGCTGTTCTAGTGTAAATATTGTGATTTTGTTTTATTAATAAATTAATTGTCTACTTATTTTAACCCTACTAACAGAAAATCAATTCCATTAATAAACCTCTAACTTAATGATTCTGGGAAAAATAAAAGGTTTGATGCAAAGTTTGGCTACAACTATTGGATAGAAAACAGTGGCTTGAGGAAGGTATGCTATTCAGAGAGGTGAATAGCTTATTTCCTTTTATTTTGGTGCGGGAAAAATCATCCCGTAACAAGGATGTATGAAGAGTACGCTGGTATATGCATTACTTTCGGAAACGACCCAAATGCCACTTATAGAATGAGAAGGAGTTGGGTGTGCACAAAGTTTACCCTCAAGAAAATGAGCATTGGTCGAGATGTGGTAAACAAGAACTTGCTAGACTTTTATGCGCTGTACAATCAAGAAAGGCAATACTGGAGGATTAAACAATGTCCATCAATGATGGAGACGGTGGATTACACACTATCCCACATAGAAACCCTGAACAAATCATATAACCCACCTCTTGCTTTGAATATGAATATGGAATGCAATTAGCAAAGATAAAATGGACAGGGTAGAAAAACATGGACAGAACTCGCGGAAAAGAATGGAGGAAATCCTCAGCAGAAGCAGATTTCCTGGGTTTGAGACAATATACACAGATGCCTCCCTAGAACCCAATTTGAGCGAATGCGGAGTTGGGATATTCAACAAAACAAGAAATATCAAAATAATGGGGAAATGTATGGACAATACCAACATCTGTACAGCGGAAACTCTGGCTATATACGTGGCCGTGGCCCTCAAATTCTTAGGAGAAGATACTAAAAAGGCTCTAATAATAGCAGACTCCAAGAGTGCAATCCAAAAAATAGTTAGGAGTGAAATCAGAAGACAATCTGACAAAATCACGTTGAAGACTAGAAAACTAATAATGATGGATCTGCGGGAAACTAGAGTGACAATAGAAATGACATGGATACCGGGGCACTCGGGTATTGCAGGAAATGAGATGGAGGACAGGCTGGCCTTGAGGGGTAGGATCTCAGACAATTGTTAACAATGAGAGGCACTACTCAGAATATTACAAAAATGCTAAAGAGGAGGCATGGATAGAGTGGAACAACATTTACAGAGAAAAGGGAGACAAATGTTATAGCAAATAAGTGAAGGTGCAGCAAGAGTTCTAGGCCAAGCTCCCATGTAAATCTCCATAAGAAAACGCTAAGGTCCAAATTGCGGCTTTTTCGACTATTTCCAGGTAGCCTCGACCCCGTTCCAGCGCCCAGGTCTGGATTACCGGTCGCGCTACCTCACCAGCCGCCGCCGAGGCAGGGTCATTTAGAGACAGGTCTGTATACACAGCCTGTCTCTAGCCCTGTATAGGTGTACCTATACAAACCTGTCTCTAGACCTGTATAGCTGTATACAGACCTGTCTCTAGACCTGTATAGCTGTGTATACAGACCTGCCTCTAAATGACCCTGCGGCGGCGGCTGGTGAGGTAGCGCGACCTGGGCGCTGGAACGGGGGCGGAGCTACCTGGAAATAGTCGAAAAAGCCGCAATTTGGACCTTAGCGTTTTCTTATGGAGATTTACATGGGGGCTTGGCCTAGAACTCTTACTGCACCTTTACTCAAATAGGTACCTACTTTTCCATAGTAAAGGAACCTCAAAAGATACCCTCCCTGGTTTGCACAGATCAATAAGGCTAATAGGCATAAAATAAGTGCATTCTGCAGAATGAGAACGACTCATTGCAGAACACCCCAATATTTGTATAAAATTGGCATAGTTCCCAATGATCAATGTGAATGTGGTGGAGTGAGAGACATCACTCACGTCCTGCATGCTGAATTGCGGACAGAGAAGAGTGCAAAATGATGAATAATTGTATTTGAAGCTAGTTAAATTCAAGAATGGTCCAATAATGGGAAATCTTGGCCGACCCAACTAGCAGAAAAACAAAATAAATCATGGACTATATTAAGAGATATAACATTGAAATTTGAAAGACACACAAAAACACAAAAATCCAAACAGATCATCGAACACATAACATTTTCTACGATGTTACTTCAAGATAATTAAGAAAAATATACATTTTTGTAAATAAATAGAAAAATCAACCTTTCTGACAATGACAAAATATACAGGATGTTTCATTAAAAATAAGGCAGTAATTTTGTTTCAAAAAATCGCATGTTTTTGGTTCAACATTATTCTTCATTGTATTATTTGAAAAAATAAATAGAAAACAAACTGTAACCAAAGTAAAAATAACTCTGCTATCGGTAAATTTATTTTTATCCATGCTAATATAGAATTAATTATTATTATAAAACCATATTATTATAATAAAAATGCACATAATATGTATTATTATTATGGTAAAGATAATTTCCTTTTTTGTTTAAACATTTTGGTAAAAATTGTGCATTGAATCATAATACCTATCTACATATACAAAATTTGTAGGGCTCATTTCCTAAATTATTTTTCAATAATTAGAAATTAGTGTCATGAAAATTTGATTAATAGGAATTCCTGTGGTGAAAGTAAAAATAATTTATCTAACTTGCTATATGAATTGTGCCAAAATATATTCCAGAGATAATTATTGACCCTCATGATTAATTTAAAAGAGAAAGCGTAAACTTGACAATGGAATTCGGTTTTTAATATTCACAAATCATTAATTAAGACCATGTAGATACCTAGTAGGTACCTAAGTAGCTTAGTTAGTTGATTTATTGATTTCAAAAAAGTTATTGTTTAGAAAGTGGTACCTATACTTTGAATAAGAGGAACCAATCTGACTCCAAGATAAAATAATTAATAAACTGAGAGAAAAACAGGATCCCTAAAGTATAGAATCTTCAATAAGAACAACTACACACATCAAAATGGTCTAGGGAACAAGAAAGAATACCTAAACTTATCAGAAATTTTTTGATGATTTATTTATGAAATATCGAAACTAAACAAGCCTGCAAAAAAAGACGACATGGTAAATTGTATTAACTTATCTATATTGAAAAATCAAAAATATTCAAAAATTAGACATTTCAATTACCTTCCTGCATTAATATCCTACAATATGTAATCCCTTTTGCACTACTATTGGTACTTATTGTCGCATTGACATTGATCTTAGAACTAACTAGATTGACTTTCACATTATATAGATTTTTCTAAATATAATTCCTGCAAGACATATTATTAAACTTTTAATAGTTCAGTTTACTGCGTATTTTTCAATTAAGCTCTTACAAAAGCTAATTATTATACCTATACCTGTAAGACTGATTTGTGTTTATGTGGTAGTAAAAACTTCAATGCTAGATAAAATTAGGTTTATTTAAGTTTTGCCATAAGACTCTTCATTAGTTATTTAGCAGCAAAGAGCATTGATATGTTATGCAAATCCACAATTTTGATGGAAATCTAATAGGATTTTGAGGAGCAAAAACATTTTATTCAAACACTAAACCTTCGATTATTATAAACACATTAAATTTGGCATTAGAAAATTAAAAATCCAACGGTACAAAACAATAAAACATAACTTTTATGAAGTATGTAGGTATATAACGGGATGATTTATGGCAAATAAAGCAAAGTAATAATAATTACTCTTGCTTTCATGTACATACAAATTACTGATGGCATTGACGGATCTGGACGGCCCTCGATGATAAAAATTTCACTGTACCTACGTAATCGTTTTGTCTTACTTTCTGAGTTCATTGTTGTATAGTTTGTTTAAAGCTGCTGGGGCATACCAACCCAAAAAACCTTGGGTTAGTTTTACGAAGGTATTGTGTGTTTAATACAATTTGGGTATTTTTATTTGGGTATAAGGGCTTTTGAAAGAATGGATTTGTTCCTGGTATAAATACTGATTATACAGTAATAATACACCCGTGATTTTTGGTTTTTTATAGTTCACTTACTTTAAAATAATGAGATAGTTGAATAATTAAAAAAATTCCCAACTTTAGAAGCCTCTAACTTCATCAAGACACCCTGTATAGAGGCAAAACTTTACAATTTGATGGAATAAATCATTGTCTTTGAGAAACTTTATTTGGAATTTTTCTAAATAAAAATTCAAATTTTTCTAACTTTCTCGGGACACCCTGTATAGAGGCAAAGTTTCAAAATTTGATAGAGCAATTCATTGTTCTTCAGAGGAATGTTTCTACAAAAGTCCTAGCCTCAATCTACAGGGTGTTCTATAGAGCTGTGCAAAAATGGCACTATTTCGCAAAAAAAAAACGACTTGTAACTTTGTTATTAAATTTTCCCAAGGAAATCCAAATAGAGCCTCTAATAAGTCAATAAATTCTCTATAAAATTCTCAAATTTCAACTCTGTACAGGGTGCATAAAGAAGTTTGCAAGATTTAGAAAGTTGGATGCCTTGATGCATTAAAAAGTCCTCAAATTCAAATGTTTCTAACTTTCTCGGGACACCCTGTATAGAGGCAAAGTTCTAAAATTTGATAGAGCAATTCATTGTTTTTCAGAGAAATGTTTCTACAAAAGTCCTAGCCTCTATCTACAGGGTGTTCTATAGAGCTGTGCAAAAATGGCACTATTTCGCAAAAAAAAAAAAAACGACTTGTAACTTTGTTATTAAATTTTCCCAAGGAAATCCAAATAGAGCCTCTAATAAGTCAATACATTCTCTATAAAATTCTCAAATTTCAACTCTGTACAGGGTGCATAAAGAAATTTGCAAAATTTAGAAAGTTGGATGCCTTGATGCATTAAAAAATCCTCAAATTCAAATTTTTCTAACTTTCTGGAACATCCTGTATAGAGGCAAAGTTTCAGAATTTGATATAGCAATTCATTATTTTTCAGAGGAATGTTTATACAAAAGTCCTAGCCTCAATCTACAGAGTGTTCTATAGAGCTGTGCAAAAATGGCACTATATTTCGCAAAAAAAAAAAAACGACTTGTAACTTTGTTATTAAATTTTTCCAAGGAAATCCAAATAGAGCCTCTAATAAGTCATAAATTCTCTATAAAATTCTCAAATTTCAACTCTGTACAGGGTGCATAAAGAAATTTGCAAAATTTAGAAAGTTGGATGCCTTGATGGATGCATTAAAAAATCCTCAAATTCAAATTTTTCTAACTTTCTGGGACATCCTGTATAGAGGCAAAGTTTCAAAATTTGATAGAGCAATTTATTTTTCTTCAGAGGAATGTTTCTACAAAAGTCCTAGCCTCAATCTACAGGGTGTTCTATAGAGCTGTGCAATAATGGCACTATTTCGCAAACAAAAAAAAACGACTTCTAACTTTGTTATTAAGTTTTTCCAAGAAAATCCAAATAGAGCCTCTAATAAGTCAATAAATTCTCTATAAAATTCTCAAATTTCAACTCTGTGAAGGGTGCATAAAGAAATTTGCAAAATTTAGAAACTTGGATGCCTTGATGCATTAAAGAATCCTCAAATTCAAATTTTTCTAACTTTCTCGGGACACCCTGTATAGAGACAAAGTTTTAAAATTTGATATAGCAATTTATTGTTCTTCAGAGGAATGTTTATACAAAAGTCCTAGCCTCAATCTACAGGGTGTTCTATAGAGCTGTGCAAAAATGGCACTATTTCGCAAAAAAAAAAAAAACGACTTGTAACTTTGTTATTAAATTTTCCCAAGGAAATCCAAATAGAGCCTCTAATAAGTCAATACATTCTCTATAAAATTCTCAAATTTCAACTCTGTACAGGGTGCATAAAGAAATTTGCAAAATTTAGAAAGTTGGATGCCTTGATGCATTAAAAAATCCTCAAATTCAAATTTTTCTAACTTTCCCGGGACACCCTGTATAGAGGCAAAGTTTCAGAATTTGATATAGCAATTCATTATTTTTCAGAGGAATGTTTATACAAAAGTCCTAGCCTCAATCTACAGAGTGTTCTATAGAGCTGTGCAAAAATGGCACTATTTCGCAAAAAAAAAAAAACGACTTATAACTTTGTTATTAAATTTTTCCAAGGAAATCCAAATAGAGCCTCTAATAAGTCAATAAATTCTCTATAAAATTCTCAAATTTCAGCTCTGTACAGGGTGCATAAAGAAATTTGCAAAATTTAGAAAGTTGGATGCCTTGATAGATTAAAAAATCCTCAAATTCAAAGTTTTCTAATTCTCTCGGGACACCCTGTATAGAGGCAAAGTTTCAAAATTTGATATAGCAATTCATTGTTCTTCAGAGGAATGTTTATACAAAAGTCCTAGCCTCAATCTACAGGGTGTTCTATAGAGCTGTGCAAAAATTGCTCTATTTCGCAAAAACAAACAAATAAGAATTTTGGCATTTAATTTCTTTAAAAAAAATCGAAATAGAGTTGCTAAAAAGTCAATTAATTTTGCATGCGATTCTCAAATTGCAACTATGTACAGAGTGTATAAAGAAAATTGGTAATCTTTTTTGTATGGAAAAAATCCTCAAATTGAGAAGTCTGTAATTTTTTTAGGACATCCATTATAGAGGCAGAAATTTGGAATTTGATATAGAAATTCATTGTCTTTCAGAAACTTTATTTAGGATTTTTGTAAAAAAATCGTAGCAATAATTTACAGGGTGTTTTATAGAGGTGAGCAAAAATTGCTCTATTTCTCAACAATCAATTTACTCTCTTTTCAAAGACAATTTGTAGAGATAGAAATTACTGGGTTTTCATATAATAAGTCAAAAATACTCTGTAGTGGTCCTCAACTACAAAAACTGCTTACACTCTCATGTAGAATTTTTTTTTGGAATTTCCAAAAAGAGCTTTTGATTGATTTTCAGAGCCTCTAATTTGAAAAAAAAAAAACACACATCTCATATACCTATACAGGGGGTATAGAGCCAAAAATTGCCTAAATTATTTAAAAAAATCTTACCTTTATCTCTTATAATTCACGAAAAAACCCAAACTGTTGCCGGCTTATTCTCTCGCACAGATGAGCACAAGATGAATGAAACTTTCTTCCTGCGATGTATCGGGTACCAACAAAAATTTCTTTATGTAAAACCCAACGTACCCATTAGCAAGCCTCAAGGACTACTGTGCATAAGGTACCATTTTCTCAATCTTATATATCGATTCCGATTTTCGTTAATGACCCAAAAAATTGAACTTATGTATTTGGGATTAAAAAATCTTGCAAGAAAAAATTGATTTGGGTTATTTGATGCTTAAATGCATTTATTATAGACAATACGGTTTAATTGAAACAATACAACCTTTTGAAGTCTATTGTTTAGTTAGGTAATTAAAACATTCGAATTTTGAATACATTTTTTGTTCTAAATAAGAAAATACAAATAAAGTTTGTTTTTTTTTAAAAAGATAAAAATCAAAATGATATTATGTTGGTAAACAATGTAAAATTGTCAATGTTTTCAAATTTTTTATGTAGAAAAGGCTTGTATTGCCAACATAATAGTTACAAAATTAAAAAAAAAAAAAGACTTTTTTTGAGTAAGGATTTGCAAGCCAGTTTATCGATCAAAACACAAAACAAAAGTTTTTGAGCCAAAGTTTTGGAATAATGTGACTTTAAAATTAATACCCCAAAGAAATTAGACCAAAAAAAGGTGCCATCTGCGGAATGAGGCCGAACAAGCTGAATTTTTGCAGAAACATTCATTTTGATGTTCTAATAAAGCAGAAAAAAATCGAATATGCCTACCGTTGTGCGTCTTGAGATATTGAAGTTCAAAGGTCACGAAAATCGTTTTTTTGCGAAAATCTCGCTTCCAGTGCATCTGACGTCAAAGAATCTCAAACAAAACTTACGTAAAATAGTATTTTCTACAAAATTGTTCATATACATTTTTTTGTACGACCAACCGTTTTCAAAATATAGCGTGATAAAGCGGGAGCGCGCATTCAGAATAGGTGATACTATATTATACAGGGTGTCCCCGTTCAACTGGTAAAAAATACTAGGGTATATAAAGGAGCCATAGAGAAGTAATTTGGGATAGGACACCGATGGTCGGAAGTGCGTCGTTTCCAAAATACAGGGTGTTGAAATTTAAACAACCCCATCTGGAGGGCTAATGCTAGGCTGTTCAAATTTTCAGGGCTTATTGATGTAGGAATGATATTCAAAAATTCGTATAATACACCCCAATTTTCTACCTGGAACCACATCAAAA